GAACTTGTTCAATTGATTGAGAAAACTTTTCTTATAAGCTTAAAAGATTTCATTTTACAAATATATGATAACCGTTTCAAAACATATGTGGAATTTGATGATGAATATCTTAATTGGATACGTAATCGAGTATCAAGAACAAACATTCAAACTATTTTTGGTGGAATTATTCCAAAAAGGCAAACAACTCGACGTGTACAGCGTCCGCCTATTTCATTAATTCGATCAAGTGATGCTCTGGTGACACATCACATCGTTTGGTTAGATGATTATATTGGTAGGCAAGAAAATTGTCCCTACCTAAAACTAGCATTTTGTAAGGCAACATCAATAAATGACTATGATATTAATACAATTCCATCTACTGGCATGATTGAACCATTAATCTGTCTTGACACTATTCCCGACCCTGTTTCACGGAATACAACGCAAATATATTGCTTTAACGTATTTCAAGATATTGAAAGATGTCTCAATTTCATGCAAAAAATTAAATCTCATTCAGTTACTATTCTGATCGCTTCAAATAATTTTGGAAGTCATATAGTACCTTTACTAGCTCATCTCACACACGTTTTTATTTATATATTGCAAAACGATTGGTACTTCTCTGAGTGGGGATTAGATTATGTTGATCGATTACAAATGTTTGATGATGATCAAGCATTACTTATACGAATTCTTCGAGACCTTGCATTTAGTTATGTTCAAAAAGGTGAACTCTGTCAAGAATCACAGTTTAACGAATCCTTGGTTATTGACGCTCTCAAATATCTACAATGGGCTCGACTACTGTATGAACGTGCTGATCGTATCGATGGAACACGATTCTCATCCAAAAGAATTGAATATATCAATAATCAAATAGACAAATATGAGCAAACTATTGATAATTTTATTCTCCATTTAGATCCTGATTTTGGTTCAATATCAAAAGAAACAATTTAACTAACGATTGCTTTGATTTGTAATGTTCATTTATTTTTTCTTTCTTTTTGAGCCGAACATATACAATAATTTTTTTTGTAATATTGTATATAATGTTAATAGTTGTTTCAATTGAATATATAATTTTGATTTTTCACAAAACAAATGTAATAGTCTTTTCAATACGTCGGTTATATTTTATGTAACGATCATTTAAAAGAAATAAATATGCTCTTTAAACAAGATAATAAAAGTTTATAATGATGACAATTGAGAAAAACGAAATCTTCAGATATTTCTATAACCAATTAGAACAAGTTGTTCTGATGTTCAGAAAAAAAACTTTTTACATCTCTTATCAATAAAGATTGCGTAGATGTCTGAAGAAATCGCTTGTATCTCTGTTAGATTGAAAATATCTCACTGTCAAGCAAGGGGCAAAACTTGGTTCTTCGGTGATAAGAAAGATCTTGGCCAACAGGTGAGAAAACATTTAAAACCCAATCTCAACGTATACGGTGAATTCAAACGTAACGCATAAAAACCTGTTATGAGTGACGTAATAACTAAGACTTCTGGCATACGAATCAGAATAATAATTTCTTGTAGAACAGAATACATTTTCTGATATGTTCACACATACTCTACAGCATGATGTAAACGCTCGTTTTCAGCTTTTAACAAAATACATAATGTCTGAAGTGTTGCGTTGCGTGAACAAGCCGATAGACATTATATAGCAGACGATAGAGGTCAAACGGTCACAGTTAGAGACGCATGACTAAATATTTTCATTATATCGTCTCTATCAAAAACATTTCTCTCATTAGTGTTATAAAACGAACTACAAAATAGAGTGATTTATCAAAAATAATTGTATATATAAGTTAATAACGTCTAAGTACATAGAAAATTCATTCGTTTCGATTAGAATATTTAAAGATGTTAAGTTAGTACATGGACGAGAAGATAATCATTGGTTATATAGAATACCATTTCTACTAATAATACCTTGATAAATATTCAGTGATAGGGAATAATAACTTTAGTTGGGAAATTCAAGCGCGTGCGTATCAGATCTGTTATTACTTATCATATGAACGATAGTTCTTAGAACCAGTTGCTATTAAATAATATGAAACTTTGTTAGTCTAGATCATTACATATGAAAAGTTATGAGAATAATTATTTTTTATCATTCGTTATAATTATAACTTATGTTTTTTTATACTTTCACAATTATCTCTTTTTCTTTCGTCGGTCATTGTATAGGGAGAGATAATAGTTCAATGTTAAAACCATACATAACCTATGGCGATATAGCATAATAGTCACAATGTACAAATGTTATGGTTAGACATATACTCTTACATATGCAATTGAATTTGGTATCTTAAAAAGGTAGATTTCATGTGAAATATATTTCTTCTTTAATATTTATCATAAAACATTTGATAAAACCTATAAATAATATAATTTTATCTTCCTAGTTGATTGTAGTAAGTGACAGTTGAAGTGTGATTCATTCAATGAATATTTACTTTAAATAAATAAAATGACAAAAACATGAATAATACGTATAAAACAATATGCTACTGAGTTTCTATTTATATAGATAAGATTTCATTTTATGTTTCATGTCATTGTCAGAAATAAAATATAAAAACAATATTTGACACTATTTTTTTTTGAATAATTTTTTAATAAAGAACAGTGTAGCAAATTTTGACTGTCAGTGACCTCTTTTAAAACATTTTTTTTTCTTTAAAAAAAAAATTCTTACGGTTGGGTTTTATTGCACCACTACTTACTCATTGTAGGTCCTTTTTATTACATCCATACATATAAAATCATATTCCTTTTTCTTTCGTTCTGTAATACTTTTTTTTTGCAGACATATTTATATGTTATTGTTTCATTTCTTTTATCTAATCTATTTCAATGTCAAATCTATAATAAACGTAAATTTAGTTTAAAAATATGAATATAAATTTAATACATTTCCGTTAAATGTCAGATAATAAAAAAAAGTATATGTGTCCGTGTATTATACAATAAAGGGCAAAACGAAAACTCAACAGTTGTTCAACGAAGAACAAAATGTTACCAATATATTTTATGATTTGAACCTTTTCTTCTTTTTACTTAGATTAATACTTTGTTATTACGTGAAGTTTGTAACAAATTAATTTTTTGTTGGAAATTTTATATAATTATTAACAGGTAATCTAGAATGTTAAATGATCGAGAGCCGACGTATGTATGTGATTGTGGTGAAGAATATATGAGTGAAGAGACTCTACTACAACATCAAGTATATTATAAATAAACAATCTTATATGGTTTTCTTTTTAATTTATTTCTTCTATTGTTGCAGCAAACTAAATGTAAAAATCGATCAATTTCATGTTCATTTTGTCAAATAATTCTTCCAACATCATCTGCCTTACGTGAACATTTACTTTTATGTGGAAATAAAACTGATGAATGTCCAAAATGTCGTCGACTTATACGACGTTCACATTTTGCTTATCATTTTGAAAATAATTGTGCTTCTATTGATAAAGTAGAAACTCCTCCTAATCAACGAAGAAGCCGATCACTTCCACGTCTTCCCGTAAATTCTAATAAACCAGTTTTACGAATTGATGTACCAACTGATGATAATGAAAATTATCCTAGAGCAAATCAAAGTATGTATCTCTTTTTCTTTTGTTTCATTAGGAAAATATTATTTTTAATTTAAAGGAAATTCCCCAGTGATAATTACATGTGAATATTGTCATCAACAATGTATACAAAATGATTATAAAGCTCATAAGGTATTTCTTCTGTGTAATATAAAAATTTGATTTATATATTATTATAGGAAAATTGTCTTCGAAGCCCAATAAATAGTAATTATAAACCATCACCACGTATACCTCCCAGACAAAATCAAAATCAAAATGGTGCAAAAGGTGTTGTTCATATTCCTTGTGAAATTTGTAATGAACCTGTTGATTTACCAAATTGGTCAAATCATACAGTAAATAGATTTTGTATTAATAAATTTATTTTAGAAACTTATTAATTTATTTATTCTAGCAAAATTGTCGTGAACGAGATATGAAACGAATCAAAAATCATGCTCGGTATATAAAAATAGAATTTTTTAAATATAAATTTCTATACAAATAATTATAGATCTATGAGTCAAGAACCTATTATTGATCGACTTCCATGCGAATATTGTCAAAAGTTATTTCCTCCTAACCAACTTTATTCACATGAAGTAATTTATTATATGACAATGATTATCTTGAATATAATTAACTATTTTCGGATATTTTATAGGCAAATTGTCAAAATAATCCAGTTAACAGAGGAACAGTTGAGAGACTTTCGCGTAAAAAATCTCCACCATCAATTGTTTTACCAGTCAAACGAAAACCGAATGAAAATAATCCAGTACCATCTAGTATGTTGTATAAATAAGTATATATTATTTGATAAATGTATTAAATTGTGTCAAGATTTTCGACCACCAAAAAATCAAGATCCTGTTCAATATGAAAAGATCGATATTGATCAAACACATGCAGCGAATCGATCTCGTAGTAGTGATAGATCAAAAAATCATGCACGCAGGGATCAACAACCTGTACGACTTGCAGCAAGTGAAGAATATCTTTCACAACCACATAATTCTTTTCCTAATGATCATGCTTATGAAAATACAGCACTAATACCAAATGGAAGTCGTTCAAATGAAAATATATTACAAAAAAGTAAATATAGATCGTCTAGTAATAACTATGTCTATCTTTTGAATTTATTTTAAGATTTTTCTAATGCTCGACGACCTGAGAGAGCTTCATTCAAAAACTTACGAAATATCGAAGATAATCAAAATCCAAGAAATGAGATTCCTGTTCGTAATGATCCTCGAGAATATGATCGTAAACACCAGCATCGTCTTCAAGGTAACAAAACAGTAAGTATATCGATATAAATATAATTTTAAAATTATTTATTTCATAATTAGACATATGAAGTCATAAACAACCACCCTGATCGTCCTATAAAGAAAAAGAATAAAAAACCGTCTGCGTAAGCATCTTCTATTGATTTCGCATATGAAGTTATTTATTATGTATATTTTAGGTTCAGAGCATTTTTTGGATGTACAAATCCTGTTTATGACTAAAAGTATCTGGTTCCTGTTCACTTCAGTCGTAATTGCTTTTATTCGTATTTTGCTCTAAAAATATTAATTATATGCCTGATGTTTGTAATGAAAAGTGTGTGAGAACTGTGATGATATATGATTTTCTTATTTGTTCTGTATTTTTTCATACTGATAAATGTTTATTTTTAATTATTTCTACTACATATATCATTCTATTCTTGATGTTTATAAAAAAAAATTTACTTATAATAAATAAATAAAATCATCTTAAATATGTGAGATAAATATAATATTTTTGTCAAATAACTATGGTATTTTATTTTTATTTGATTAAAATAATATTGCTAATAAGCTTTTTAAAATCTCAGAATGTAATCTGAAGAAAAAAGTGTAGGAAAGAAGCCAACTGAAATATGCTTAGTGAGCTTAAAATGATGCATACAATGCAAGTAATCATAATCAAATAAAAGGCAAATCGCTTTCTTATACAAAAGAAAATCAGAATCGTTGAGAAGAAATGTACAACAATAATATTGGTTTACTTTAATTTCAGAGGTCGACTTGACTTTTATATATATGTTTGTGCAGATATTATGTATTTTATCTGTTCGAATTTAGTTGTAGCGAAGTAGATAGCCTAATACATAAAATATAAAGAGAAAGAAATGATAAATATAGAATATTTAAGCTCTTGTTTCTTCACAAATCAAATGCTTAACTATTAAGAATTCATAATTATAAGACGCCTTCAAATCGATCAGTGGTAATCGAAATCTATCGAGTAAAAGGCTAAAAATCCGACTAAATCAATTATCAGATCTGGTCAGATGCTCTGTATCGCGACTCGATTATTTACCATATTTTTCGTGTATGCCTAGTTATCAAATTTAATTGGTTAAGATCCGATTAATCTGCCAGAAACGATTCGATCTGTTATATCTGACAACGAGCAGATTCAACCGTATCAAACAACAGTTATAATAAAACCGTTCGATAAGATTGTTTCCTTCCCAAGCTACAAAACATGATGGATTATTTTGTAATTGAAATGTTTCTCGATTATTCGATCTAATTGTTTATGACAGACTATATCCGGTTATGGAATATAAAGAAAAAGTCAGCAACTTGTTAGCTCGTAATTATTAGTATTGAAAATAATCGCTAATAGCACATGATTCAGTTTTCAAATTTTAATCGACTGCATTTAGTCAAATGAAATTGATTCAGTTTGAAAAAGAATCTAGTATACTGGCATGATTCTTGAAAAACTCATGGGAATTGTTTTAAGTATCGCATGTTGAATGCTATTGAAAAATATCGAAATTATTTATTATATAAAAAATACATAAGACTCGATACAAGATATCAAAAACATTGCAGTGTCATTGATTTTTCGCTTTACACTTGAAAACTTTTAATCAGTGTCATTTAACAATAGACAATATAATATTTTACCAGAAATAATCTGGAAAAGGTTCTACTCTCCAATCTATACTAATTCTTATTGTATTTAACTAATTTTAAATAAATATAAATATCTTCTTTCGATTTAAGTTAATTCGATATAAATTAGTTGCGCCTTGAATATATATAATTCGTTTTTTAGCTCTTATATAAATAATCGAATATTTTTTCTTTCATAATAATTTGTTAAAAATAAGTCTATTGAAATATATTCATGTTTATTATATAATTCTATATAATTTAATATTGATTTCATTTAACTTATTATTTATTTCATATATTAATACATTACCTTAATCTATTTTGAATATCTTTTGATGATCAATGTATGTTGAATGTTTAATTTATGTCGATAAGATATCGATTAAAACGAAATAGGTATAAATATAAAAACAATTTTATCATTAAAAAAGAAATACATTGATTCTCATTAGTGGTCTTGTAAACGATCCAATTCCAGTTTATCCTGACGCCATTTATCGACCAAAAAATCGACCAGTACCAGTTAATATTCCATCAATAGATTCTAAGAAACTAGAACCGCGTATAATGCCTAAAAGTGCACCACAAATTGCACCACTTGCTGCAAATGAAAGCGGTTATTCACTTTGGTGGATCATTGGTCCATTACTTGCTGTATTCATAGCAATGATTATTGGTGCTTTGGTTTATGTAGCGAAGAAAAAAAATGCTTCACAGCAAGAAAATGATTCGAAAAACCGAGAAACAGATAATTCCGAAGATGATAATAATATACTGTTAAAAAATATGAAGTCAAATACAATATCGAAGGAACAACAAAGAACATTACCACCAATATCTCTTGCCACGAAAAGTAAATATTAAATTCTATGAAAGTATCTTTTAAATTAAAGAAGATTTTTTGTTCAATTATTGTTCATATTTTTAATGAAAAATGTTCATTATCAATTTTTAAAATAGGTCCAAGTTATTCCGAAAGTTTATTATCATCATCAGCAGTGAGTCCAACATCTTCAGCACTTTCAAGTACATCAAATCTTGATAAACTGAACGACAAATCAAGTAAACAAAATTCTGACGCAAATATAAATAAGAAAGAATATCAACGGAATAAAACATTCTCATCAAATGATATTAAAAAAATTGATTCACAAAATCATACTGAACCATTCAAAACACAACAAAATAATAAAATATTTTCTCCTAGTGAAATCAATGATTTAAATGTCGCGGCATCATCTGGTAAATACTAATAAAATTTATCAACTCTTTTTTTTCTATTAATGTTAATTAAGATCGTGATTATATTCATGACTTAAATTCACCTGAACAACATGGAATTGGTAAAAGTCCATTGATATCTAGTATACCTACAGGATCAAAACGTAATGAAAAAGAAAAATCACCAAAAGATAAAATCTCGAATTTAAGTAAGTCTTTAATAATAAAATCAAACAAAAATTATTTTTATCTAGATGAGTTAACAAATAAAAATATAATTCAAACATCAAAAACAGACGAAATTAAATTTGGTAAATATTATCTTCATAATTATAGAGAAAAAAAATTCTATTCGATTGAATTAGATAAAGATAATTCTGATCAGTCAAATTTTGTTAATCAAGATAAAACATTAATACATATGCCAAATGTTCCTCAATGTAAAACAAGTAGATCATCGGATGATGATAATGATGAATTTGATGAATTTTATCCTGTCTCTATTAATAATTCTACAAATCAACAAAAGACAAATTCAAATATAAATGCATTAAAGAATCGAAAAAAACGAACTTTACGTATACAAAAATCTTTAACAAAACATTCTCATTTTAAAAGACAAAATTTTTAATACGAAATTGTTATTTTTATTCTAAAAATTCGATTCGAATACCAAAAATAACTATTGAAAATTTTCTGTTTTATTTACGATACTTGCGAATGTGTTTTTTTAATAAATAATTTCACGAAAAGATTTCTGCTTTAGAAACATTTTCTATTTAAAGTAGCCAAAATTAATTTCTTAACTAACATAGTGTTCATAATGAATACAATTAGACTATTTATTACATGTATTTTGATCATTTAGCCTGGAAAATAATAAAACTTCCTGTGATAGCCTGACAGGTGCTTTATTAATAGCTTTTTGTAACATAATGTACTTTATTTTGCACTAAGTTCATAATATTGATTTTAAGGTAAATAATATTGACCGAAAAATGAAACTCTCGTTTCTATTTTCTGTTAAGTAAATTAAAAATATGATAGTTAAACATTATTATTCACCTTTGTCCCTGATATATCATGATTTAATTTTTGTCCTCGGTATAAATATTTACAAAAAAATATTTTAATAAAAATGTCACAAGAAACATTAGTAATATATTAAATAAAGAAAAATTATATTACAGTAAATATTTTATAATCATTTATGAGATTTTATCAATAAAAATTTGATATTATTATATAATATTAAGCAATAGACCAAATCAGACTAATTATTTAAAAATAAAAACATTAGTTACAGTCTTTTTCGATCATGAGAATAGTTATATTAAATAATAAAAAAATTTTATTCTATGATGTGAATATAATAGTCCGATGTCTATTATTTAGTAGTATAAGTTTGACAAGATTGAGCTTGTCAGACGTCATTTACATGAAGTATAATAAAACTGTCATTCATTTTCAATGAACACACTAATGTGTTCAAAAATGTCGAGTTTTTCTAATAATTAAACATTTTTTTTTCCAGTTAAATTTATCTTTTTATGTTTTTAATTACTTATTCTCTTTGATTATCATGCGAAGTTATATGGAAAAAAACATAAGATATTCAAGATAGAATATTGACGTTTTCTTTCAAAAATATTTTTTATTGATTCCCTCAACTCTCCAAAAAAACAACGCACTATTGATAAAAGATTTTATTACTATACAACCTAAGAAAATTTTAAATTCTTCTTCTTATTATTTTCATTAAGTAGTTTTTAAAGATAATTAATATGATTTACATTTTCTTCGATTAATGAATATTTTACATAAAAACAAAAAAGAAAAACAAGTTAAGGCGTGACGCCGTCGAAGAAGCGCAAACATATACATCGTCTCCGTGAGAATAAAATAAGTATAGACAAGAAGACCTGGTAATTTTGTCTCTAGGCAACATATATTTTGTTTTTCTCTTTCTCACACTGAAATGATGACGCACTTGACTTTGTTTTTTAGACTTTGACAGGTAGTTATACTGATATATGATCGTTTTGTCCTTGATGTTTATCCTTCTTTTTTTAATATATTTTATTTCTATTGACGTCATTGAAACTTCAAAACACGCTTATCATTAATTCTAGAATAAAAAAAGAAATCTTGTTTTTTTCTTTTGTAAATTTTATTCTTGCATGATCGTCTTTATATGTTATATCAGTAAATATTCCACTCGACGACCTATATAATAAAATCAAAGTCTACTTTGATATAACATATGTATTAAACAGACACGTACTATTTGTTTTAGAATATAAGATAAAAATTATTTTTTCATTGGATTTTTCTTTCAAACCAATTGAAAATGAGTAGAAAACAAAAATGAGAGAAATACTTCATTCATCTTTGAATTTAAACAAAGTAAAATAAAACAAACTTTCTTGTTTTTATTTTTCGAATTTTTAAAACAGATTTTTTTGTTTTTAGATATAGAGAAAGAATATGATTCATCGTCGTCATTCGATGATATCGTCATCTATCAGATATTTTTGTATACATTACGAAGTAAATGCACGCGTAAAAGATAATATAACTAACACAGCACAACAGAAAAACAATAACGCGCCCGATAATGACGTTTTCGTTGACTAGACGATAGACATTATCATAACATATGCAAAAAAAAAGAAACAGACATCGTAAAGTGCATTTAATCTTCTTATTTTTTTTCTTCTATTTCTCCTTTTTTTTAGAACTGTAAGTAAAACGTATCATTGCTGTAATATAAAAGAAGAAAAAAAGCACGAGACAGGTTATATATTTTTTTCTCTTGATGCATGTTTTTCTTGATGTCTGTGTATATAAAACTACAAAAATAGGCATCGCGACAGTCAATAACACACCACTTTTTTTTCTTGCTTCTCGTTTTTCATTTGCTCTCTGTGTGTTAGTGTTTTGCGTTTTTGTTATACTTTTTTTCTTTTCTGCTCTCGTCTACTCCTTTTCTTTAACTTAATAGTCAATCTTTGGTTTCTTTTTTCTTCTTCTTCTTGTCTTATGCTTTTAGTTTTGCGTGACAGAATAAAACGTCTAGTACGTTCTTTTCAGTTCTGTTGTTAGAAAAAAAATGAGAGAAAACATATCATTATTAGACTATCCTCAGACACTGACGTCTCGTCATTAGTCTGAATATGACTGTCTAGTATATAAAACACATATTTTCTCAGTAGAACGAATTCTGTACTTATCTTATGTAATAAGACCTCGATATTTTTTCCTTTTCTCTAACGTTAATAAATATTGTTTTCTTGTTTTTATTTCTTATATTGTATCGATGGCAAGATCAACAATATTATTCGATTGACTGTACGCCTACATTTTTTCATTGCCTATATCTCTATACGTTTATGTAGAGAATTACGTAGTTTGGCCTAGTATGTTTCTATCATTGTGTGTCCGGTTTGTTGCATATATATATATATATGTATGTGTTGTTATGAAACGACCACCCTCTTTCGCTACTATATATGCCCGCTCTCTCTCACTCAATTCAACCTTCACCTCTCGCGCTCGTTGCTTCTTCCTCTCTTCGTCTATTTTTCTGTGTTGGCGAATGTTAGTAGTATTGTATTTGGCCCTTTCTTCGCTTCGCCAGTCGTCGCCTCTCTTATTGAACATACACGCACATACATAAGTTCAACCATCCGAAAGCGACCGACCGACGGAGAAAAAGAAGAGAAAAGAAAAAGAGAAAATGAGAGAGAGAGAATAGAGGATTACGTGTATTGCCCGGACCGTCGCTCTCCATTTCTCTCTCTCTCTCTCTCTCTCTCTTGCTCTTATACAACTCAGGGGGCAGTCGTCGTCGTCGCTTCGAAAGAGACATATTTGCTCATAGTCTTTATTTCTTCGAGTTTTTTCTTTCCCTCTTCATCTTATTCGTTTTGTTGTAGACCATCTCTTCTCAATCACAAGTTTTATAAACGAATGACGACGACAACGTCGACTCCATCAAGTTCTATAGCACCTCCAATCTCATCATTTGATCCACAATTACTTAAACTTCTTGCACGTCATCATCATCATTTTAATCAACAACCAAGTGCAAAAGAATTTCTTCAACATGCATTTTATTTTAATCATCCACCGCCTAATACAGTAGCTACCTTATCACCACGACATCATCTAAGTAATGGTTTATCAAAATTAAATACAGAAAATTCAACATCAAATACGAAATTATCATCCATAACAACAACAACAACAAATGGAAAACTTGATCAACAACAAATAATATCACCAAATAATACTCAAATTAAAAAACCAATAATTCAACAACAACAAGTGAAAGACGCTCTTGCTTTTGATCAATGGCTTCAACCACCACTTGGTTCTATCATACAAGGTCCACCATGTCTTCAACCTGATACATCATCATCATCATCATCGTCATCATCAACTTCTTCTGCAACAGCAGGTTCGAAATGTGAAACAACATTATCATCAGGTACGCGTTTATTTATTTTACCTTGATAGAGAAATAAAAAAAGTAAAACTAATTTTTCTTTTTCTCGACATTTTTAAGCATATAGAAAAGAAGAAGAAGAAAAGGGATTGTCTTTTATTTCATTTCGTTCAATACTCCTTTCCGAATAACAATTATTTGTAAATATTGATTGTAAACGACAAGATCGAAGATTAAATAAAGAAGAAGGACAAATAAGGGTAACAATCATGCATTCATCTAGCTAAGTAAATGATAATACTATCAGCTATTCGAATAGAAGTACAGTCTAGAATATTTTATTTCAATCGGTTGATTGATATGTATCTCATATTACTAAAGAGAGAAGAACCGAGTAACAGCTGCTATTCATATTAAGAATATACTTTACTATTTAAATGTAGACACCTATTGTTGATGACGTATGATGTTATTGAAAATTTTCTAATTAAATCTTTAATTATCCTTCATAATTGAGATTTTTATTTTTTTTTTCTATTTTTATTAAATTGAATAGATAAAAATAATATATCAGAAGAGCCATTAGCTGAATAGTATTATGTGGTTATTTATGAGAATAAGTACTGAATTTTATTCATATCAGACGAAGAAAAAGAAAACGTACGCATGTGCGTCTCATCTATGTTCTGTTTTTTTCGTTGTTTTTGAATATATAATGGTATGCATAACAAAATAATATAGACGGACTCACTTGTCTATACGTATATATATATATTTTTTATTAATCTATGATTGCACAGAAAAAGAAAAAAAAATGATGTTTACTCATTTCATCGTACCTGACATTGATAGAGGTGATCGATTTATTTTTTGTGTATCATGAATCTCAAGATTCTAACGTCATTTTTATGTTATCTTCATATTTTATTAATTATGAAAATACAAGAAGAACTGAAACATAAAAAATAAACTTATTAAGAATATTAAATTGAGAAAAGAAAAAAAAGATTGCAATTTTTTATAGTGTTATTTCACAATCATTTCAAGAAAAGAAAAAAAATATTTTCTTCATTCTCTTTTGTAAATATAATGGAACAAGTCATATGAAAAAAAATTATATTATTGAAAAAATGCACTTGTCCTACATATTTTTTATTCTCTATGTCTATAATAAGTAAGAATAGATAGAAAATAGACTGTGACTCCGGCATCGCGTTGTATAACATCAGTAGCTGAAGTCATATGTAATTTATTAGACAAGTAGAAATAAAAACGTCCAAAAAGTAATCAAGCGTATCAAGCGCGCAAACGCTTTCCGTTAATTTGATCATTTGTTGAAAAGTATCTATAAAAATGAAAAGACAAACTAATGGATCAAGTAAGTAAATAGAAATTTTCTATTGATATTTAATAATAATCTTTTTATCTTCTATATAATTAATTTTTTCTTATTTATGTTTAGGTGAACGCATTACATGTTTTGTTGTGGGCGGTGAAAAACGTTTATGTTTACCTGAAATATTAAATACTGTTTTAAAAGATTTTTCATTACAAGAAATCAATGCCGCATGTGAACGTTTACATATTTATTGTTCACGTTGTACAAATGAACAACTTGATACTCTTAAAAAGACTCAAGTTCTACCAATGAATGCTCCATCATGTGGTTTAATAACACAAACAGATGCTGAACGTCTTTGTGCAAATTTATTACAACTTCATTATAAAGGACAATTACATACAATTAATTCAGCTACAACAAATCCATATGAACGTTTATATTCAATAAAAGTTCAACATAAATGTTTTGGTAAATGTTCCGGTACATTATATCCTACATTATATATTGCTGCACAAGCTGAATGTATACAATGTGATACATGTCAAGCTTTATTTTCTCCAAAAACATTTGTTTCACATGGACATAAATCAGAAGAAAATCGTATTTGTCATTGGGGATTTAATTCCGATAATTGGCGTTCGTATTTAAAAATACGTTCAACAGAAGATATGAAAGCACGTGAAGAAATGGAATTATTTAAAGAAAAATTTCTCCATAGTCATAGTACTATTAATCAAAAGAAACGTTTAACACAACAACAGGTACAAATTAAAACTTATTTTTTTTTAAATAACAATTTTATTTGTTTTGATAGGATTGCTTAGTATCAACAGAAAAACGTTTAAAATTAGCTCCATCATCATCAACTGATGCTTGGCCCTATCCATATAATCAGTCAAATTATGTATCTATGAAAAAAGATAATCATGGAGAATATTCATTTGGTGCATGTTTGCCACGACCATCATTGATTGCTCCTCCATTACCATTAGCATTACCCATAGAAACAACAACAACAGCAACAGCATCGAACAGGTTGGTTTTTTTTGTCTTATTCTAATTTTATTTCAATATATATTTTGATTCATAGTTGTCCACGACCTTCACCATTACGAGTTGTTCAATCAAATTCACCAGTACCAAATGAACGACCAGCTCCGTCCATTACAAATTTTAATGGTAGGAAAACATTTTATCTTGAGAATGTTTGTCTATTTCCGGTGCAAAATGTTAATCATACTTTACATATAATTGAAAAAAAACATTTCTCATTTTTTCTCAAGAATCAAAAAACACGATGACCTTTTATCATTTTTTTCATATCAATAAATATTGTTTTTCTTTTCTTTTAATATAGATTTTACACCAGATGGTATTCGACAAATCGTTGAATCTACTGTATCATCTCCACGTTCTCGTCAACAATTAATAACATATATATCTCAATTACAATTACATACTTATACGCAATCATCAAGGACAAATTCGACTGTTGGTGATACACATCAACAAAATGAAATTGTTTTATTAAGAGTAAATATTATAGTTTTATACATAAAATAGAATTATTTATTATCTTTTCGTTTTAAAGCGTGAAAATGAATTACTTCGTGAACGTTTATCTAAAATCGAAAATAATCAAATATCATCAAATTCAAGTACAATTAGTAATGGAAGTAAATTTTCATCAAATGAGAATAATCCACAACATGATAGTATTGCTGGAGATTCTGATGATCTCGATTCAAATGTTTCATCACAAAGTGTATCATCATCATTAGTTGCACATGAAACAACAAATGAACAACCTAAATATTTTGATCGTAAACGTCGTTTATTAGCAGCTGAACAACAAATATCAACATCCGAAACAGATACATTAGTTATTAAAAAATCCAGTCCACATAAAAAAGCTTGTTTAGATGATATTGTTGATACATTAAATCAAAAAGCTCAAGCTGAAAAATATGACGAAGATGAACAAGATGAAAATATTATTAATGAACTTGAAATAAAACAAGAACAAAATGATGATGACGATGATGATGATGAAGAAGAAGAAGAAGAATTACTTGATGAAACAAATAATAATAATAATAATAATAATTCAGAACCATCATCAACAACAACAACAACAGAAATAGAAGACGAAGAAGAAGAAGAAGAAAAAGAGGAAGGAGAAGCAGAAGAAGAAGAAGAGGAAGATATTGATGTTGATGGTGTTAAACTTACAATCGATGATCACCACTAAGTGGATGAAGTGTGCCATTTATTTTTGTTTGTATCTGTCTCGAAAAAAAAAAACTATCACTCAGGTATTTTCTTTTTCTGTTGTTATTGATGTTGTTCTTGTTCTTGTCATTCTATACTGAACAGTAACATCATCCTTTGTATCTTCTTCTTTTCCTTTTCTTTTCTTTTTTTTTGTTTTGACTTTTGTTTATCATCATTGTACCTATTAATATGGGCTTGAAAATTTTTTGTTTTGTTATTTGTTTAAATATCTACCAGATCGTGTCAGCAAGTCGAGCAGACACTTTTCCTTTTTTTTTCTTTTTTCTTTCTTTTTTTGGTTTATTCTTGCTGTGGTGTGTGCGTGTGTTCTATTGTTACCGTTCGTAACTTTATTATGATTTGCATTATCATCAGAAAGAAAAGTTTGTTTTTTTGTTTGTTTTGAACAGTATATGCATATATATATATATATGAGTGTGTGTTTGTTTATTTGTCTTTATTGCATTTGTTTTTGACAAGAAAAAAGAGAAAACAAATTGAAAAGATGAAATAAGAAAAA